CACACTTGTCGCGGTTGGCCTTGTACTTGGCGCGGCGGAGCGTCTCCAACACTTGTCGAAGATGCCCCAAATGATCCTCCAATGACCGACTATAGACGAGAATATCGTCTAAGTAGACCAGCACAAACCGGTCCAACATTGCACGAAACTCATTGGTCATGGCCGCCTGAAAGGTCGCCGGGGCGTTGGTGAGGCCAAAAGGCATGACCACCCACTCAAAATGCCCGTACCGCGTCTTGAACGCGGTCTTGTAGCAATCGTTCGGCTGGATCGAGATTTGATGATATCCTGATTTCAAATCCAACTTGGAAAAATACTTCGCGCCGCCCAGCCGCTCGAGAAGATCGTCGATGCGAGGTAGAGGCCCCGCATTCTTGACGGTTTGCGCGTTGAGCTTGCGGTAGTCGATACACAATCGTAGATCCTTGTTCTTCTTCCTGACGAAGAGAACTGGTGCTCCATATGGGGAGCTACTTGGGCGGATCCAGCCCTTGGCCAACAAATCGTCGAGTTGTGCGCGGAGGACCTCAAGCTCCTCCTCGCTCATCCGATAGATGGAACCTTTTGGCGGCACGACACCGGCCTCAAGAATGATCTCATGAGAGATCGGCCGACCCGGCACCACACCGGTAGGTGACTCGAAGATGTCGGCGAACTCGTCCAGCAACCGTACCACACGGGGGTCCGAAGACAAGTCCGTGGGTGAAGAGTCGGCTACCGCGACGGTCCGTAGGAAACATAGGCCAATCTCCTCGGGTTGCTCGTAAGCGCAAGTTGCCCGGAATGATTTGGCTGTCACCACTTGGCACCGGATCGAAGAGCGAGGTAGAGGAATAGTACACGCCACTTCCGCGCCGAAGGCGTCACGAACGCTAAGAGTCCGCCGATGGAAGTTGACTGTGTGATCCGCACTTGCAAGCCAAGGCATTCCCAGAATGATGTCGAAGTCCGTGTCGAGAATATCGAATGTCACCGGTTCGCATGCATGTGGTGCGAAGTAGACCGGTACGGCCTCGATGTAACGGTCGAGAAGTTGTTGCGTCTTACCATCCGCCAACTTGATCGTCGTCGGGTTTGCCTTCCTCCGAACTTGTGCGCCGAAGGCCAGACCTTTGCATAAAGACTGGCTTATGAAGTTGCGAGACGCGCTGCTATCCAGCAAAGCGGCAGGACGCTTGCCCAACCTGAATGCGGACATACATGAGCGGTGCGTTGTTGTCATCGTACCGCTGCGTGCGAAACTCACGGGCCACCTTGGTAGTATACGCCAGGATGTCCCCCACCGCGACTTCGTCATCCGTCGGCGAAGTTGGTGGTGCATAGAAGGATAGGTAAGTGTGAAGATTAGCGCTAAGTGCTGCGCATTGCGGTCCCGACAAACAGCCTGTGGCCGGGAGAGGAAGCCATGCAAATTCCTTAGACGTGAGTGGGTCCAATGCCTCTATATTGAACTCGCGCGCCGAATCCCGTGATGAACCACTTGAAGACGATCTGTCGCTGTTGCCGGACGGAGAAGAAACCGCACACACTCCTTGTCCTTAAGCTTGAGTACCCAGCGTTGGAACGAGTCGGGCAGCATAGTCCTCAAAAGAAAGTAGAAACGGAGGACTGTCGACTTCCGCGTGCGCCTCGGAATGAAGGCTGGTTACCCACGAAGAAACCAGTTCCGAAGGCGTCGAGAGTGTCGTCGCGTCACTCTCGGCGGTGCTCAGTTTCCCTGTCTACCCTTGCCTTTCAATGGGCAACCCTGCGTCTGATGAAGATCGTTGTTGCACCAAAGGCAATAGTGGAATGTCTCGCGTGCCTTGTATGCGGACTCGGAGATGCCATATGGGGTCCATGGGCCTGTCTGAGCTGCTGCACCGGGCCCAGGGCTAGAAACGGTGTGTGTCTTCGTCTTGCCGCGTCCTCGGCCTCTGCCAGGGCGGCCACCTTCCCGGGCGGCTGCGAATCTGTCCCCTTCACTGGCAGACACAACCTCGCTGGTTTGGTCTAACGGCGCTGCCGCTGCGACCACGGCCACTCTTGGCCGATGCTGGTCCCTGCTCGGGCCTGACGCAGATGAACGGAGGTCCTTGGCCTCCTTGTTCGTGATAATGATCTGCGCAGCCTTGTCGAACAACTTCGCCGTCGTCGTCAAGGTGTCCTCGACATGCGTCAGGGCATTGCTCAATGTCGGACATGACCTTGAGATGAAGTAGTGGCAGATGGTTTGAAGCCCATCTGGATGTCTGGGACTGACGTCAAGCGTTGGTACTCGGCGATCCAATTCGTACTCGACAGCATGCCTTGCTCGAAGACCATGAGCTTGTCCATGGCTTTGATCTTTGGCGGCTCCACCTGGAACCGCTTGTGCCACGCCGCCTTCAGATCATCCCAACTGATCTTGGTGTGCAAGTCGGCCGCTACCACTCCGTACTTGGACAGGAGGTTGTCCAACCAAGCCTGGCACGCGCCCCCTGAACGAGAGTACAAGTAGGCGTGATGCTTGTGTTCCTTGACGTTGGACAGCTGCAGCGTGAGCTCGAACTTGCGGAACCATGGAATCGGATCTGT